GCTAATCGATGGGAACAATTAATTTCACAAAAGATGACTTCATTAAATAAATTCTTCTTTTCTTATACTGATATTATTTATGGGAATTTTAATATTACTTCTTATCCATTACTCAATGATTTTACTTCATCATTTTGGATTAATCGAAAATGGATTTTCAAAGTATTAGCTCATGATGATGAACTCATTTATTCAATACGTCCTTATTCCTAAAGATTTTTTTGTATTGTTATATTATCTTATTGTTTAATAAAGATTTTGTTATGATAAGTTTATCATTAAAAAAATTGTTTCGATTTGTTTGAAAGATCGTTTAAATAATTCGTATATCATCATTTAGATGAAATGCTAAAGTACATCTAGGATATTAATGAACAAAAATTAAGATCTCAATATTTAACAGACAGCATATCTTGCATTTCAATTATGTGTTTTAATTTGTTATCGTAATAGATAGTTCTTTGTACAACAGACGTTTTACATTAAAATAACACAATTCGATTTGATGACTTGCTTTCCATAATATACTATTGATATGTAGTATATTTTCCAAAGGAACAAAGTAATGTAATCAATCTGCGAGTGAAAAAGAACAAATGATCAAGATTTACAACTAACGACAACTGTCGAGAATTTTCTGAACTGTGGAAAAAAAGGTATTTTATGGACTATTAGATACACTGTAAAAAAAAATCGTAGAATAAAAAACGAAAAAAGGGTTTATGAAAGTGCAACGTGTAGCAAACCCTTTTCAACCGTTTATCAACGAGTCATAAACCCTGTTATAAACCCTCTAAAAATGGTTTAATACGGAGTTTATTAACGTTAAATATTCTTTCTGGAAAGTTTATTGAAGGGTTGATAAGATTCATAAATCCTTAAAGGGATTGCGACACGTTGCACTTTCATAAACCCCTGAAACGGGTTGATAATTAACATAAACGTTCTTATAAAACCTTTGAAACTCAGTCTAAAAAGGGTTGATTAAAATACTATACCCGTGAGTCTCTCTCAGAAACGATATTGGAAAGCGTTTATGGGCATCATGAATGGTCGACGGCGTTTGTGATAGGGTATATGAAACCGATTATTAACCCCATCAACTGCCTCAAGGGTTTATGATAAGGCATGTGAAATCGATTCTGAACCTCATCAACTGCCTCAAGGGTTTATGATAAGGTATATGAAACCGATTCTGAACCTCAACAACCGCTCCAAGGGTTTATGATAAGGTATATGAAATCGATTCTGAACTTTATCAACTACCTCAAGGGTTTATGATAAGGTATATGAAACCGATTCTGAACCTCATCAACTGCCTCAAGGGCTTATGATAAGGTATATGAAATCGATTCTGAACTTTATCAACTGCCTC